AAAAAAAAAAACCTTCAAAAACCTATAAAACAGCAAGGCAGAAGTGTGTTTTCATGCAAAAAAAAAATCACTCTTTTTAGTTGAGGGGGTTAACCAGGGCTGAAAAGTGGGGGTCCCTGTTAAGTTGTGTTAACCGCTTACGACTACTGCTTCCCTCCCTATCCTAAATAAAATAAGTTGGTCTCCCTCCCTATCCTAAATAAGTTGGTCGTGAAGGTCGAGGTTTGGGCAGTCCAATGGCCAATTAGCAGGGCTCTCCATTCCCACGGCCAATCCTTGTCAGTGCCTAGAATCCGTAGATGGTTCCAAATCCGGTTCCACCCACGCCACGACAGGATTGAGGCCGGCCACTGCAGGAAAAGGTGTTCTATCGACTCATCTCATTTGCCTTTCAAGAGGGAAACCCCTCCTTGCATCCCAGACCCCCCAGGAGAGAGCCAACCCTTTCTGTTCCAGGTGGGTATGGTCAATGAGCCATGCATTTGTGGGTAAGCACCGATGGGTGAACAGCCATTGGAGGGAGGCAGTCTTGGCCGAGTTACATTTTTTTTTTTTTTTTTTTTTTTTTAAACAGGGCCTTATGGACCTGGCTCCGTCTATTCTGGGGAAGGCAGAATACACATTACATTATTTACATTTTTACCTTATTATTAGCTATTAATAATATTAAACCATTTTTTAGGTCTCAGGTCTTCTAGTGGAACATTTAACTGCCTTGCCCAGCGGTCCACTATACGGTCCCTCAGGTTGAGTCTAGTCCTGAGGATCCGATATGTTGCTTTAACGTCCAGTGTGTGCAGGTAACTGTATTTTGGTCTGCCGTTCCTCGTTTGGATCTTCCATCGCCACTCAGCGGTGTCCATGGGGAGGTCCTGGATTGGCAGCTCCGGCCCCCCTAAATGCCGCCTAGAAGTCCCCTCACCCTATGTGGACTATTCCAACATCAATCCAGTAGACTTCATCCGGCGCACCTCTGGTGAACCGGTTCAGCTGGGACAGCTTACAACACTGAGATGCAGAGGTGATGGAGGACTAGAGGAGGAGAGGGAGATGCAGCAGAGTGGGCAGGATGGGGAGGTGGTAAATAATTAATTAAACAATTTACAAACCATTATTAGTGTGAAGGAGAGTAGTGGAGCCTTGCTTTCAAATTCAACCTCTCTCTCTCTCTCTCTCTCTCTCTCTCTCTCTCTCTCTCTCTCTCTCTCTCTCTCTCTCTCTCTC